ATCTATCTATCTATCATCTATATCAGGGGTCTTCAAACTTGACAGCTTTAAGACGTGTGGACTTCCACTCCCAGAATTCTTCCTCCAGTCATGTTAGCTCAGGAATTCTGGGAGTTGAAGTCCACAAGTCTTAAACTTGCCAAGTTTGAAGACCTTGATCTATATCTATTATTCATCTATTTACATTCATCCACCCGTCTATCATCTATCTATTATTCATCTATCTCTATCCATCCATCCATCCTTCATCTATCTCCCTCCCTCCATGCCTAAATTATCATACTGTATACTGCAATTTATATCACCCACAATGAGAAATATGAGCATTTCTGATGTTATGCCTGCAGATGAGGACCGGCTGTCACGAAGGAAGAGTATCGTGGACACCGTGTCCATTCAGGTGGACCTCCTTCCTGGAAACGGTGCAGAAGATAAGGTACGTCCCTTTGATCATGGACATTGTGCAGCTTTGCAAAAGCTTTTCATCTTCCTTGTTCCTTTAAGGCTAGGCCTCTCCAAGCTTGGTGCCTTATGGACTTCAACTCCCAGAATTCAACGGGGGAAGGCAATGCCCAGAATTCTGGGAGTTGAAGTCCACAAGTCTTAAAGTTGCCAAGTTTGGAGGGCCCTGTCCTAAGTGACCTCACCTTAACCCTATCAGTTGCACCTATCCTTCCATCCCTTTGCATCTGGTCCAAAGTCACCCCGCCAACTTTCATGCCTAAGGTGGGATTAGAACTCACTGTCTCCTGGTGATTGCTTGAATATTCGTTTGGTCAACCCTTTATATCCTCCCCTCTGACAGAAAGAACAGATTCCAGGCATTCCCCAAGTTTTGGGGTTGTTTCCCCACATTTACTGACAGAGCTCAAAAATATTATTGAGTCTCCTTGCAGGCTTACCCTCTCAGGCATCTAGTGGCTTCTATGTGGCTTGATTCGTAGTTTCCTCCTTACAGCTCGCTCTGTAAAACACAATAAATTATTTTATTTTCCTTTTTGTTCAACTGTTGGTGTATTTAAGCAAAATATTTCTCCCCTCTCCCCTTCAGGTCAACAGCATGGAGGAAATTACCTTTGAAGCACTGAAGAAGGCAATAGGTAAAATGCACCACATCATATAGTAAAATATCTATCCTACCCCCGCATTCCTTGTTATATCGTACTTTTAACCAGCAGCAATTTTCTCCCTCAATAATGTAGTCATAATCCTTGCTACTATGGATTGGATCTCCTCAGTTAAACAATCAGGAATATCTCTGGAGATTGTCAGTCATCCAGGTCATGGTTGTCCAAAGATGCTTTTTCCAAAAGACAACTAGATTTTCTTGGTGATTTTCCCTGAAAAGGTTTCGCTTCTCATCCAAGAAGCTTCTCCAGTTCTGAAGTCATGTAGTTGTATATTCTGAAGAACTGAAGAAGCTTCTCGGGTGAGAAGCGAAATATTTTCAAGGGAGGAAAAAAAACCAGGAAAGTTGAGCTGAAGAATCTTCTCAGATGACAAGCGAAACGTTTTCCAGGAAAATAACCAAGAGAGTCGAATTGTCTTTTGCAAAAAAACACCTTTGGGTTGTGAAAATACGACCGCACTGCGTAGTTAATATTGATGATGAGACAAATTAGACTCCACATTGGATCAGGTCCATCTACTAAAGAGTCTGAATTAATATTTCTCCAACTGGAACAAGCTTTTCTTTTGAAGTATTGTTCCCTAATTAAGTTTTTTCCCCTCATTTATTTCGTATGGCGTAGCAAAATGCAGCCTGGTGGCTAAAGGGAGGAACTCAGAAATGCCCATTTATTCAGATATAACGCAATGCTAAATGTCCCTGAATTCTTGTGGGGGGCAAGAGGCCACCGATGCGTTTACTCTCAAGGAGACCCGTGTGGTCTCTGGCATAGCCAGCCAGGCTGAGGTGGGGTCCCAGGCCGACTGCTTCAACCAGGGCGTTTCGGGAAGCCGCCTCACTGCGTGGGGTGGGAACGGGGCTTTTCTTTTACTCTTCTCTTTCTTTCTCCGTCCCTTTCTCCATATTTTCATTTTTAAATCACCCACTTCCCAAGATAACACCGGCCTTGAAGAGCAGGAGAAGGAGAAGAGACGCCTTGTCATCGAGAAGTTTCAGAAAGCTCCCTTCGAAGAGATTGCGGCACAGTGCGAGACCAAGGTGAGCGGAGCAAGCAACGTCTTCTGCAACCGAGCACACACACACCCCCGGCTTGGTGACGCCCAGGTAGCCTTGCAAGGCAGCTGGAGGGTCTACTTAAGAGAGCGAGGAGGAGCCCACAGCACGAGCTAAGCTGGGGTGACCAAGGGCCTCCCTTTCCTGCTTGTAGTGCTCGTGGTACCACCTCCTCCTACGAGGGCTGGGAGGAACCACCTGGTGCAAAGGAGACTTTGCGTTGTCGTGTTTTATTCTGTACAGTGAAGCGTGAGATTAGGGCAAAGGAGTGTGCAAAGCGTGAGGAAGGGGCTGCCGCTCTTGTGGATAGCAACTGGCATCGAGTAGGTTTTTCAGATTGAAGTAGGCGGAGTAAGAAACTCCGTTAAAAGATTTCTGCCCAATGTGGTAGGAAAAGGGTTGTAGCTGGTGACCAAAACGTTGCCTTCTCTCCTTGGAAGGAGTAGGGAGAGAGAAGAAGGCTGCTGTGCTGGACCATTTTGCTCCCAGAGAGGATTTTCCCAGCGTCATCAGAGGCCTTCAGTGGGGGATAATCTGGGATATGGGATGCCTCAAGAAGAGAATACAGGATAGGATACAGAATGACAGCGTTGGAAGGGACCTTGGAGGGTCTTCTAGCCCAACCCTCCACTTAAGCTTCATAAATCATAGGCTTCGTAAATCGTAATTAATCACAAACTTGTTTTAAAAGCAAAACCTATTTTATTGCAACGCTGGGAATTGCTTTCCTTCCCATCCAGAGCTAATCTCAAAACAGTCCCCCGAGATAAGCACCCACCTTTCAGTTCTGTGAAGTGCTGCCAATAACAGAAGCATCCAATGAACTAGAAACCAACCGAAGTACGAGAAAAAACCAACCAAAGTACACAGAGCTTCAAAGAGGACTTGGAAGCAGTCAAACTACTTTGCTTCCCGCAAAGGTCTCGTCCTTTAGGTCTGACTTTTATCCCTTATGGGAGGGGCCATCACCTCCCAGCCTTACTCCCGAGTCACCCCTTCTGCTTCAGCTGCTCTTGCCTTCTTCTGGCAGCTCTGTGTACACATGCACTGGGAACAGGCTCCCCTGGGTCCTCTGCCTCACTGCTGCCAGACTCCGGAGGCAGCACCCGACTCCCAGATGGCCATCGCTGCCTCGGACGCAGGACCCTTGTCCAAGTCCTCTCCAGACTCCCTGACTGGTCCCCTCTCTTCCCCACTGTCCAATTCTGCTGCCGGCTGCACCGGCTGCCGGCAAACCACAACAAGGAGACCCTCAACCATTCCAGTTGTGCAATCTCCTCTTAAAAGCCTCCAGTGATGAAGCGCCTACCATTTCTGGAGTCCAGCTGTTCCACTGGTTAATTGTCTGAAAGTTCCTCCTTAGTTCCAGGTTGGTTCTCTCCTTGATGAGTTTCCATCCATCGTTTCTTATTGCCTTCAGGTGCTTTGAATATTTGAACCCCCTCATTTGAGGAGGATTTGGGGTAACCTCCTCAAATGCTCAAACACTGCTATCATGCCTCCCCTGGTCCTTCTCTTCATTAGACTTATATTATTATGATTCTAAGAACAACAACAGAATCCTACGGCTGGAAGGGGGACATTGGAGGTCTTCTAGTCCAACCCCCTGCCCAGAGCACAAGTCCTTATACCATCCCCAATAAACAAGTGTCCAATCTATTCTTGAAGACCTTCAGTGGTGGGGCACCCACAACTCTAGGAGGCGGGTTGTCCCACCGAAAGGAATCTCGCCTTGATCCTCACCCGATCTCACAGGGCCTGTTTTCTCTCCAGGCGAACCTCCTCCATGACCGACTGGCTCAGATCCTGGAGCTCACCATTCGGTAAGGGGAAATGCCGGAGGCCTGGTTGGATTTTGGCAGGGAAAATTGGGAGGACGGGCACTTGGCAGTCACGAAGTCAAAGGGTGTTGGAAATTCAGGGGTGACCAAAGGACAGTTCAGGTAAGTCCTCAACTTACAACAGTT